GTGGGCTCAGTGAGAACCTGAATCCCTCCTCTGGGATTCTTCTACCAGTTCCTGTATATACTTAGCTTCCGGTCACATCTACACATTCTACACATTGTTTAGAGTATGTATTACTGTTATTGTTGATGTTCAGCCTCATGGTGCCACCCTGCCTCAGACAGGTTCATTTAGGTCCCCTTTTAAACCCACCAAACCAAGTCCCCAACCCCGTCCCCAGGTGGAGGGTTCCTTATTTGGCTGATAGTTGTCAGGGCTACCCTGAGGTTCTGTTGCTTCCTCTAACCTCTGTGCTCCAACACATGATATCGCAGACAATACTAAAGTTATCTTCTGCACCCTCTGAAGAATGCAGAGAAGGCTTGTAGTGGGAGGTTGTCCCCATTCTTTCTTTCTCAAGTCCACCATATCGTGGTCCCTACCGCCCCTTCTGCTACAGGCTGCTCCAGCAAGCCTGACTCCAGAAACCTCCAGCCAGAGATGGGTGCCTGTCTCCTATATACTGCCACATTGGCCACCTAGCCTATGGGGAAAGGGGAATTGGGGTAAGAAGGGGCAAATTGAAGCTATTAGAGCTCCTCCCCCTCATCAGCAGAGAAAGTAAAATACAATAGCTTATCCTTATGGGAACTGCAGAGATTTTTGCCACCATCCAAGACTTGAAAAATGCCGGTGTTTTTGCTACCACACACAGGCTAATGTGGATCCACAGCTAACACAGGCTCTCCAGCTGGTGTAGATTACTATGCTAGTAAGTCTGCCCCTTGGCCCTTAGCATCTATGGGTTGTCGGAAAAGTCATGATGCATTTTTGCAACGAAAAACAAAAAATACGTCATGACTTTTCCGACAACCCAATAGCATCCAGGGGTGCTCAAAATGTCAGGGGTAAAACAGTATGTTATATGGAGCCTATGACAAGCCAATAGGAGAATCACAGTGGAGGCTGCTAGGATATAATATATACTACGAACCAGCAGCTAATATATAATGCTGTTTCTCCCATTCCCAAGATTTGCAAGCCTGGGAACAGAGGGGTGGAAATAAAGGTGGTGCCTCTCATAATTATATTAATGCATCTGACTCATCTGCAATAGTTTTACTTTCCATCCCTGCAACTCTGATCTCTGTTGGTTTAGAGGTTTTAGCTTCCTAGAGGAAGCACATCCACTATGGGACGAGACAATGGGTCCACTAAACCTGAAGCCACTCTTAGCTCCTGGAGCCATTCAAAATGGGATCTTGGTGTTCACGCTATAGAATGAGGACAGGGAGGAATATGGCTGAATCTTGGGATCTTCTAAGTTATACTACAGTCCTGAGGGGGTGTATGGCCGAGTGTTGCAACCCTACAAAGGACCACCAATGGCTCAGACTCTTTAGGAATGAAGGACTGAGACTCCCCAGTAAGGCAAACAATGTGGAATTGAACGAGAAGTCACAAATAACACAGCCACTCATTTCTATGTTCAAAAATGAGGACTGTTCATTCTATCTGTATTTTCTTGCTTATTGTCATTAAAAAACAACAACTTTCATCTCTTCTTTAGTATTATAAGTAGGATACAGTTATGGTGGTGGTGAATTCACCCTTTAGGCCGTGGAATTGTAGACTATAAATATCAAGTTGGGATAATGGCAGAACTAGAGAAAGAAGAGACATCACTGGGAGAACTTGAACTATAAACAGAGGCCCCATGACCTTACCTCCAACTATGATAGCTGGAAATCTTTGTATGTGTTGTCTCTCTCTGGACAGCTCTTGGTTGTACATGGAGTAATTAAATTATACCAGGAGGAAGCATTTTTGGAATTATATGAATGGAAGTAGAATGTTTGTACATGCTATGAATCCAAGGAGTAGAATGTAATTATTGTCTATATTACTTTTCTGTCTATCTATCAACCCCTCCTTTTGGTAACTGCTGAAAATCACAGGGATTCGCTTTGTCAGTCAAGAGTACTTGGTTAGAAACACAAGTGATGAAAAAACATTAGTACTCAATAAAGCCCCTGAATATGTGATATCCTTGCTTGTTATCCACCTTTTAAGACTTTGGTTGCCTTGCCCAGAGTCATTCAAATTCTTTGGTTCATCAAAATTTGCCTTATGAACTTGACCTCTAGGTTCCCAAGCATTTTTCAGGAAGGATTTGAAATGAAGCTCTTAGATTTCCAGTAAAACTACCCAAAATGGGGAACTGTGGTAAGTCATGTATTGAAAGACAGAATGTTTACAACTCTGACCACTCCCACCCTTATATAGGCATACATCGGCAATATTGCGGATTCTGTTCCAGGCCACCTCAATAAAATGAATATCTCAATAAATGAGTTGTAATCATTTTGCTGGTGGAGAGTCTTGTCTTCAATTTGTAAAAAAACCCAACACTTGTGAAGCACAATAAAACAAGGTATGCCTATACTGGGGACAAGGTGGATTCTAGAGACAGTCTCTCTGAGTTTTTGGAGAAGGGATCCAATGCCAGTAGTCATGCAGGTGATGAGAACCAGGCTCAGTGTGGCCTGCAGGGAACATCAGAACAGAGTCAAAGGAAGGGGGTCAAGGATCATGACAGAAAGCCTAGGCCAGAGGCCAGCCTGAGGGAGTCCAGGGCCTGGTACCTGTGCCTGTAAAGTTAGAAGTTTGGTCACCTCAGGAGGGGACCTGGAGGAAAGGAAGGGGGAAATGATAGAGTCAAGGTAGAAAAGGAACTCTTTGGAGGTGCTCCTTCCCATTTAGTGCTTTGAGGGGACTGCTTCTTTAGAAAAGTCTGAATTAAAATACATTTTTTGTTGCTCTAGGGTAGTGGTAGCAGTGCTCAAGAGAACTGTACTGAACTCCACAGTTAAGACTATGCCAAAAGTTGCCAGAGATACTCAGCTCATGAAAGTCGGATGATTATGGAAGAGAACAGGTTAATAAATCCGAGTTTCACTGGCTTTATTTTGGTTTGTTTTTTGGCTGTGGGGTAAGAGCAATTTTACCTGCAATGAATTAGGGGAAATAATTTGAAAAGTGAAACTCAAAACCCAAAGCCTGTGTTCTTTGCAAGTTAAAAATTTAAACTGTAACTGTTTAGAAATGTGCATGCTTGATCTTTCTGTTAATGGGCAAAAAGCTGTTTTCTGAGGAGAAAGTGACATTTAATTATTTTCTGCATTAAAACCAATTTGCTTTTATTTGAGTACTTGTTATGAAGAATGCTTTTCATGGTGCATTAAGACTAATTTCTTTGGTTAGAATTCAAATCCTAAGTGACTCTGAGTTGCATCTACCCCTCCATTAGCAAGCACTGGCTCAAATACCGTATTTTGCCGTGCATAATGTGCACATACGTTTTTGGCCCAAACTTTCAGGGAAACGGAATTACTACTACCTGTGTATAATGTGCACCCTTATTTTGCCCTCACAAATTTGGGCAAAAGTGTGCGCATTATACACGGCAATATACGGTACTTGGGAGAGCAAAACTGCAGGAATGGAGTGCCTAGCTCTGTTTGCCCAGAATTGCAGCATCTGTGGCACCCACTTGGATAGTGAATTTTACACCAAAATTTAAATTGAGGCCTTGCAATTAAAATACAAATAATAAAAAATTAAAAACGAATCATGACAATGAGTCTATTAGTAGTAAAAATAATATTGTTTGCAATATTTCATCATGCCACCACCATACTTCTGTTCTTGTCTCCTTTCCTGAAAATCGGGGGTAATCATTAATCCCTATCTTGGGTTGAAAGGTTAAATGAAATGATGTATATAAAGTGCTTAAGACATTGCATGGATTATTTTAAGTGTGCAATTATGTTTCTGAGTGTTATTTTTCTATACCAAGTGCAGTGTATGAATGTAATGCATATACTATATATCTATTTCTCTCTAGCTCACATCTATTCAATTCATTCCATATTAATAAAACGTAATTCCTTATTTGTAATGGCTGCAAAGTATTCCATTATATAGATGTACTATCTGTATTTAGCTAAGCTCTACTGTTGCACATATAGTTTATTTCCACTGTGTTGCTATTATGACTAATATACTAAAATGTAAGAACCTTGTATAAACATCATGGGGCACTCATCCAATTTTTAAGTTTTGAAAAATTAATCACATCTTGTCTTCTTGTTTTACCTTAACTATGAGACATTGTAGAGATTAGCTCATAGTTTCATCCGAGTGAGGAACCTCTGGGCTACCTGAAGATTACCAGCTATTTATAGTTTTAAAGCATTTCCTTATGGTCTATTGTTTGCTTGGGAAGCAAGGAAATTATTTTTTGTGTGATCTTCAGGAACGTTCTAGGATATACATACACTATTGCAGAAAAATAGGAAGAATCTACCTGGCCTCATGTGCCCCTCCCTAGCTCCCCCCCCCCCGAAAATTTCCTTCTAATTGCAGTGAATTCATTTAATAAGTTTTAATTTTTAATCAAATCAATACATGCACATATTGTTTTAAAAATCAAATACTACAAAAGGGCATATATATAATGAAAAGCAGTAAGTCCTGCCCATCCCTCTCAACTCTTGATTCCCCCAACCCAGAGGCAAAACTTTTAGTTTAGTGGTTACCTCCATTTTTTAAATGCTTTTATTACTATTTCTTAATGTGATGACATAAGGCATTTTCTGCTGACTTCCTGCTGTCCCCCCCACCCCACTCTCCACCCCACTCCATATGGTTGTATCACTATTTTTAACTCTTCTGTTGGTTACTTTGCTCATTAATATAATCACTAAATTTTTACATTTATTTTTTATTTTTCAATTACAGTGACATTCAATATTATATTAGTTTCAGGTGTACAGCATAGTGGTTAGACATTTATATAACCTACTAAGTGAACCCCCAGATAACCTTTGAACTAGAGACAGTATTTGGACTTCCCACCTCCTGAGAATAACACCTCTATTCCATTTCCTCCCCTCTGCCAGTACTTGTACACTCTCAAAGTTGATAATATTCCCGTTGTGTTCAATAACAGTGAGTCAGTCTTCCCTGCTTTGCCTAGAGATTTACTATAAAGATGGAAAACCGTAACTAATATTTCCATTGTAATGCTCAAATACTGTTCAGTGAATAGCAAAGTTGAATGTTATGGTTGGATTCTCTTATCTGTGATTGCAGTCTTATCCATGTGCAAAAGTTCAAGCCGATTCCCCTTTTACAAAAACCAGTTCAGATCTCAGGTTGCTTCATATTTGAAGCATGCTTTCCTTGTACAGTTTGAAATGTTTGTTTCCCTGTAGTTGCTGTTTACCGTTGTTTTTTCTTTAGGGATGAAGACATGTATGACCTCCAGATCACGTTATTAATTTCCGCCAGCTTTTAACGCCATCCGTCTATTGCTTAGAAGTCATTCTATTCAGTTGGAACTCTATTCACTTCTTATTCAAATTTGGGAATCGGCCTCCTATTTGGACCATTCATGTACAGTTAATCTTTGAGATGTTAGTAACCTTTCCTCTTTAATTTTTTTCCCTTATGGCATCCTCTTCCCATTGTCATTTCCTAAAACTCGTGGGGGTTTTTGTTTTGTGGATGCAAGAATTTCTCAGATATTTCTGAGGATTTCATATTTTTAAGTTCTTTTCTGTTCCTTGAATTATCTCTTTTCTTGAGAGTCATCTTTTCGCTATATCTTAGGTTTTTTGGTTATATTGAAGGCTTTCCGCAAACAATAATTTCTAACCGCTCAATTACATTAAAAGATGAGGCACGGGATAGACAGGCAGGCAAGTTTGCGTGCGCGAGCCGAGCTGGTCGCTTTGCTCTGGGGCAGGTGAGCTGGTGGGTGGAAGTCAGCCATCCTGCCGGGGGCCCGTGACTGCCACAAAGGTAGCTGCGCTAAATATGTACCTGCAGGCGGACGTTGAGCACCACCGAAGCCACCATGTAGAAGTAGGGGAAGTTCATGCGCAGCCGCCAGGCCAGGTCGAAGAAGGTGATCAGCGTGCGCGTGAGCCCCTTGCAGAAGGCGCGATAGGAGCTGCGGGCCGCGGCCCAGCGCGACAGCCACACCGTCAGGCCCGACGGCCCAGTCTTCACCGCCATCAGTCTGATGTAGCCTCCCATAGAGTACCCAGAGGACAGGGCCTCCAGCCGACTCTGCAGACCCACCGACCCTCGGACAGAGACGGACGCAGGGGAATCCGTGTGGAAGGTCGGCTGGCTGGGCTTCCTTCCCTTGCAGCGATCTGGCCAAGGCGATTGTGGGGGCCCACCGGGCTAAGTTTGTGTCTGGGCCCCTCAGGGCGGGGCTGGGCGGGGCGCCAGAGACCGCGAGTCCCGGGACTGGGAGGGGGCATCGGGGAAAGGCGGAGAGGGACGCAAGGGGGGAGGGGAAGGGGCGCGCGGCTTACGCAGGAGATCTAGCTTCCCGAAGCCGGTCGTCCTTTTAATTTTTTTTTTAATTTTAACGGAAGCCAAATGAAACTTGCTTAAAACGTTAGAAAATCTCATTCAAAAGCATGATCTTGAGCAGCTTAGAAGCTTGAACCCATTTCCTGTTGCTTCGAATCCCTTGAAGAACTTTTTCAATCCTCAGCTGGGGATTATACAAAAACGAATTTTCTGAACTTTAAAATGTGTGCATTCTGTTTTCATGATTCAAGCGACTTTTTGGGTTTGGTTTAGATCTTTATTATCCCTCTAATGGGAAAAGTTATACAAACAAGTTTTTAGACCTTGTCAACAGCACAAACAATCAGAACAATGGAAAGCAAATTCCTTGCATAGCTTCACATTCCCCACCCCGCCCCCTTGTGATTAAGATTTCCTTTCTATATACTTCCAGTCCTGATATGTTGATACATTGCTCTTACATTGCCAATACATTGTCAATAATATCCACCTACCTCTCTCTGATGACTGATTATTACGCCTATATATGTTGACAAAAAATGCTCAATAATTTATTTAACCCGTCCCCTATTGATGGGCATTCTAAAGGTTTCCAGTTTTTCCTATGCCAAAAATTGTGGCAGTGACATCTTTGTACACATAAATTTACGAGTGACTGAAGAGTATGAATAAAATGATCCCATCTTTTTTTATAAAAACAATCACGTACACATATATTTAGTGTGCCAGGTCAAAAAGTTTTCCTGATACATATGGTCAACCAAAAAAGTTTATAGACAACATTGTGTGTTAATCTTGGAATTTCTTTTTGCCAATATGATAGGCAATAATTGTGTCTCATAATTTTAGCTTACATTTTAAAAATTATCAGTGAAGCTGAGCAACTTTTCGAAATTTCTTAATTTTTCACTTAGATTTACTGATTGTAAAACATTAGAACAAATATACCGGGGGTGCCAAAAAATGTATACACATGACTTGTATTCATCTTTTGTTATTGGTATATCTTGAGTGTTACAATTTAAATATAGTTTTTTCCTTTCTTAAAATGTGTATACTTTTTTGGCCACCCTCTGTATATTATGAGAAAAGTAAAATTCTTAGGATCACAGCCCCCAGAAAGAAAGACTATTAACAGATTAGTATATGTGCTTTATCAATTCTTTACATATATTGATAAGCAAGGCATATGTACATATGTCACACACAAATCATAAAACAAAAATGGAGTCATAAAAAGACACTACCCTGACAGTTGCTTTAAACATAATATATCTTGCATATCTTTCCATGTTGATACTTTATGGACTGTGAATTATTCCTTATGGATGGCCAATAATTAACTGGTAGATATTTGGGTGGTTTCAAAATTTTGAAGATCATAAATAATGTTGAAAATAATATTCTATCATGCATCTTTCTTCACTTCTCTGATATTTCCCTGGAATACATTTCTAGAGATGGAAATCTTGGATCAAAAAGTTTTCATCTGATTCCTTTTAACAATTAAGAAAATAAATGTATAAAGCAAAAATAGAAATATAAAAATAATTCATTTTTGGGAAAAATATTTTTTCATCTGTTTAAGAATTTTGATACATGTTGTCACACTGCCCTCCACACTGCTTTTACTAAGGTATCCATGAATACCCTCAACTTTCCCAATAATGGGCATTGATGTTCTTTTAAGTCTTGGACATTCGGATAGTTGAAAAAGATATCTCTGTTTTAAATTGCATATTTCGATTACTGGCAAGTTTAGACATCAATTATATGTATATATATCTTTGTACATTTGTATGAAAGGAACTGCTCTGTCAAAAGTTTTGCAGTCTTAATTTTAATCATTATTTCCAGTTCCTGTGTAAAGATACTTGTACCAATTAGCGCTCCCTCAGGCAGTGTATGAGGCTGTTTCTGTACACCCTCACCCATATTATTATGTATTATTTTATTACCACTAATATAAAAGCCAGGCATTTATTCCAATTATTTTAATTTACTTATGTTTGATTACTGTTGAGGCTGAATATTTTGTTTGTTGGTCATTCACAGTGGCATCAAAAGGAAGGAAGGGCAGTGGACTGGATGACTGGAAGGGAGGTAGAGGGCTTACAACTAACAAGCCGACCACAGGGTCCTGGAGACTCCAAGGGCTTGGGAACAGGAAAAAGAGCGTTAGTGAGCCTTCCCCTCTCTGCCCCATGTACCCCTGCCCCTCAGGCTGCCCAGGTTCTGGCCCCTTTACTCATTTGTATATTACATTTTTTTTTTACCGAAGGCAGCAAAAACAGCATAAGCAGCCTAAAAATGTTAAAATCTCAACCGAAGCCCTAGGAGAGGCACAGACAAAACTGCCTAAGGCAATGCAATAAGCAAAGGAAATCCTCCTCTCTCACATCACACTGAATATAAACAGTACTAATAGGCCAAAGTTATTGTCTTTGGGAAATTATACAAGTCTTCTGGCTCTTCTTTCCCACAATAGAGGGCATATACTTGATTTTTCTATCTGAGTCACCCATTCTTAATATATGTGGGAGGAATATATTTTTAACTGCTGTATTGGTGTAGAGATAATAGGTTTAAATGTAATCAGAGGCTTTTGTAGTAGAAGACACTAAATTGAACACAGGTGTTTACCTCTTCAAACCAAATAGAAACCATTATTAAAAAGTGCAAAGTAAATTCATAAAATTAGTGGAAGGGGTGAGGATAGTGGAACAAAGAGTGTGATCAATTCCTGGAATGAATGCAGATTAGCTCAAACTGAAGAATAAATCCTAGTGGAGGGCACCACAGCCCAAACAAATCTTTGGAAAAGGCTGCAGCAGAAATGGAAGCCATTTTCATTGAAGGATATAATATAATCAAATCTTATTGCCATTTTTCTATTTTGGTACTTTGTATAAAAATCCTCATTAATGAAAACCGAAACTTTGCTTAGACTCCTTTTTAATGAGCATTAACTTCTTTTTTTGTTCTGTCCATTTCTCACAAATTTATTTTTTTTCTTTGCTTAAATAGTATTAAAATGTGCCTGGTTCAATGACTTCATTTCTTTGAGCCTCATTTTATCATCTGAACATCATAATCTTCATACGTGGCATAACACACAAGGCCATTCAGGTGTCCAAGAAGTACATGAATTAGATTCAGATTGAAACAACATTGCACTGGACCATGTGCATATATATGTTCACTTTCAGGAGCTGCCACCGATGGCATCAGGAATAACAAAATAATTCCAGACCAGTCAAAGCCACATGAGTTTTTCTGTTTCATAGCACATGGAAGGACATTACAAACTCAGTAGCAGGTCGGCTTGCCAGTGCAGCTGCTCCTTTATTCAGGTGGCAATGCTGGATCTAGGGGACAAAGACAGAATTAATTGCCCCCCACCCCTCCAACCCTCCACCCCATTCCCCACTCTCCCCAACACTCACCCCACCTCCGTTCACTTCCAGAGGTCTAAGGCATTCTCTCCCAAAGCACTGGACTTGGCACTTTCCTTCCACTGCCACATAATTGGTGTGTCCCATCCCAACTTCACCTTTTCTCCAGTCACCCCGGATTGAGTCCAGACCTTTCATCCTGATCATTGCCAAGAGATCCCTTTCTGGGGACAGCTGCACTCAGTGACCAAATTGCCCTACTAAAGTGTCTGGACCCAGAGGAAGTAGAGTCAGAAATAATTCCAGTTCTCAACAATATCAGATCTTAATGGAGTATTGTATGTTCATCGAATACTTTGACTATTGGCTCATTACTGGGTGACACGAGTGAAAAAGGTGCACCGTTTTTCAAGGTGCAAATGGGTTGGAGAGCTGAAAGCCTGATACAGGTAAGACTCACAGAAGCCACAGTGGTGTGGTGGGAGTTAGCTGATCAGACCGCAACCGCAACATGTGACCTCAAAAAGTTACAAAAGTGATGAGACTACCTGTAGCACTGAGGGAGACCGTCAAAGGTCTGATGTAGTCAATCTGTCAGGAGCGAGAAGGGTTAATGCTCCATGCAACGTGGCTTTCTTTGTTGCAAGACAAACAGGCCAACTTTGTGCAAGAATAACAAGTCTGGCATGCAGTAGTGGCTTCTGCATCAGAAACAGAGTCCTTTACTTTGTGCCCAGTCCCTGATGGCAGATGTGTTGCCATGTCTGATGGCAATCTTGGCAGTGCAGGCTTGATCAGCAGCTTGATTTTAGTTGGTCTCATCAGAGAACAGACCTTCACTGTGGACATCACTGTGTGTGGCCTATGCAGCCCAATCAGCATCCACATTTTATTTCCACAGTTTATGGTCCCAAAGAGAGGTGTCTTTAATCTGCCAGTCTATAGTCTTTCAAGTGGCAAATCAAATGGGTAGGCAGGCCATTGGCAACAGCCCCAAGGTCAGTGAAAATATAACAAGTTTCATCAAGGGGAGAATTGGCCAGACCTATAAGAACTGCTTTAAGTTCTGCCCATTGAGCACGAGTGTGATAACCCTGCAGTCAGGGCTGTTGATGTGATGCGCCAACCACCAGGACATCACCTATAGAGTGGAAGTTTTGGACGGAAGAGGATAAAGACACTCACCCTAAATGCTGACACCCCACCACCACCACGCGCATGCGTGCGTGCACACACATTGGTGGCAAATAGCAAGGGAGTTTGTCCAACTAGCACTTCTCTTCTTGTGTCAGTGCCCTGAGTGGGAGACTCTCCTCTGACACTTTATGAGCATTTATAGTACAAGCATGAAACACATCCATTTCCTTATACATTTCACAACAACAGTAGATTGAATTGGCACAGAGGACCCCATCCACAAGGTCACCTGAACTGTTTTCCTTCACTGAGAGTTTTACTAAAACCCTATCAGTTGAATCCAGGCTCTTTTTGTTGC